CCATGATATGCCTGTCAACTTGAACAGATTAAGGAATGTCTAGCAAACTAGCACAGTTCTTCGTGTCTGTGGATAACTGACAGGTAGGCCAGCAAACTGAGGGAAGAAGATTCACCCAACATGCGGTGGCACCCACCAATAGGCTTGGACTGGACAAAACGGAAAGAAGGAAGTGTCTCTGTTTTGGAAGAGCTCTAGGCTTTGCCATCATCTCTGGACACCAGCTTGCAGTTCCCTCAGTCTTCCAGTGCAGACCAGCACTCTGGATCTCTCTCGTTCTGCAGCTTCCATCTTCCTGGGCTGAGCAGCTGCTGAACCCTCCGGCTCTTCAGTGTGCTGACAGCCACGGTGGATTCTTCACCTCTGATCCTAGAGACGACCACTGTGGAGTCTTCACCTCTGATCCCTTGAGCTACCTAATAAACCTCTTTGCATAATTACATTTTCTACTCCTCTCAAGAATCCTAACTAATATAGCCATGATATGTGTTTATAATTTGTAGGTTTTTTTTTAACATATTAGGGGTTTGTTGGGTTTCTTTAAATGATGCCTCTGCCCACACTTTTTCTTCTAGTATTCCAGTTAGAATACTTTCTCACTACCCTTTCCCTTATCCTTTAGCCTCATGTCCCTTTGTGCTGCTTTTCTATGTAATTTTTCTAGTTCTAGCTTCCAGTTCACTTATATAATCAAGTACAACACTCATCCATTGTGCTTTTATTTCAATTCCACTTTTCTGGAAATCTGTTTTAAAACTTGCTCTTTATATTTTCAAGACTATTTTTATTTCTTAAACATTTTCTGGTCTGCACCTGATAACTACTGTATCTAAAATGTCTTCAGGTCTGCTTCTGTTCAACACTTTCTGACTTCTGTTTGATGAGTCTTTTCTGCTGATGCATTTTGTGATATATTTACTGTAACTGCTTATTTTCCTTAGAACTTTATCTGGAGAAATCCCAAGGAGTATGAAATAATAATTAGTTCTTCCAGAGGATCTGTGTTAGTTTGTCCTAGGCACTAAAGAGACACTACCATTTTAGAGTCACTTTAAATAAATTCTCAGCATGGGGCTTTAAAAAATAGTACGATTTGGGCCATAGACTCAAGTGAATGCCAGCTTATATACAGTTATCAGTTTTTTAAAGGAGACAACATTAAGGTTTGAGAGAAACAATGTTCCTTGTAGGGGGCAGATGAGCATACTTTGGGATTTCAAACTTACTGGTGGGAATAGAAGGGACTTCAGTAACATTTTCCACTAGCAATCAGAACCAGAGATTTATCTCTTGACTTCTGACATCCATAAAGCTATAAAGTTGTGAACATTGATTCAGCAAATGTCCTCAGGGCTAGTATCTTCTTTAGTGCCTTTACTTCTCCGGATTCCTGTCTTCACTTATGTGCCCTCCCCCAGACCCCCCATTCCCATACTTGTGGTTGAACTCAGGGCTGCTGGTTCTTCCCGACTGTTTTATTTTATTTTTTAATTTTCAGACAGGGTTTTGCTGAGTTGCCTGACTTGGGCTTGAACTTGCGATTCTCCTACCTCAGCCTCCCCATTAGCTGGAGTTATAGGTTTGTGCCACTGTTCCAGCTTCACTTAAGTTTTTGGGCTGGGCATCCTATATTTCCTTCTCAGGAAATTAAGCTGTCATTTAAAATTATCTTTACCTGGAGGATTGGTGTAGGTATGGAGTCAGCTCCTATTTTCAGGGAAAAAAAAAAAAGCTCTATGTACAATATAGTGCCTTCAAGCACAGGAGAACAAGCTTCGAAGAATTACTCTATCTCCTTAAACACCATCCATTATAGTTAATCCATCGTAACAAACCCTGTTAATAGATCCTGCCTTCAAATCTCTGATTTATTTTTGAATACAGAACTCTACTGCTGCATCCTAGTTCTAGGTCTTACCTCTTTTTAGTTAAGCTTCTACAAAGGGTTTGGAATGTCTAAAACAGCCTGCACACAGGTAAGACTTTAAGCTTTCTAAAATATTGGCTTTGTTGTATTGGTCTTCTTTACAAAATCTTCATCATCATTTAATAATAGGTTGAGCTCCAAAATGTCAACACTGCAGTATCTAGCTCTGTTTTACCTATTCAAGTACAGATTCTCAGCCCAAATGAATTCTGTCTTATTTTTGCCTTCTACATAAGCCCTGAGTACTTATGCCTATGTGCCTCTGATCCACAGCCTCCTTAACTAAATCACAGCAATCTTTTCAGCCTTCTCTCTTTTGTACAGTTTTTCCCAACACACTTGCTCTGCTTTCAATTTCCCTGAGCCCCTGTGTGTGCAGTACATATTTTAATTAATTTTATTCAATTAGATATAATTCTTTAATATTTGAAGAGATTTTAAGTTGCTTAACCAGAATTCTAATCTAAATCTTACTCTAAAGTTTGTGCTCTAATATATAAAACTGTCTCTTAGTATTCAATAAAAACTGTTGATTCACATAAGGACACTAGACTCCATAAAATTACAATAATGCTTCATATTTTAACTGATTTATCTTAGTTTAGAACAAAACAGAAGATTCACTGAGGGAAGAAGATTCACCCAACATGCGGTGGCACCCACCAATAGGCTTGGACTGGACAAAACGGAAAGAAGGAAGTGTCTTAAATGGCATTAAAGTTTTAAAAGAACAAATTTCTTATAAAATCTCCTCAAAAGGAACTTACATCCATTTCTCAATAAGGATAATTAGTTCTTCCAAATGTAACTACCCAGACCCTGCATCTCTAATCAAACTACACAAAACTATCCTTCAGGATAAATGCCATTCCTAAAATTGTAATGGCTGCAACATCTAGAAAAAATGGCTGCAGTAATGGCTTCAACATCTGAAAGTTCACCCAAAGGACCATTCCAGGAAAAAGATACTAAAAGCCCAGGTTCATGCATTATTCTGATATTGTTCTTCATTGAAGTAGGCTGTGCCACGTCAAATTTACACAATTTATAAAAATATATTATCTCTAGACTAGACTTCAGCCATGACAGACACAGTTACTTGGGGTTTATAATGTAGAATCCTCTTCTTGCATTAAAGTGCTCTTGCCTCTCTTTTTATTTCTAAATAACAAAGCCTGTAAGAAATGAACTCGAGCACTGAATTACCCTGAATAATTTGTGGGGACAATTTTTGTTTTTGTTTTCTTCAGTATTGGGGATTGAACCCAGAGCCTTTGCACTGGGCTACATCACCAGTCCTTTTTTATTATTTATTTTGAGACAAGGACTCCCCTAAACTACTAAGTTGCCCAGATAGGGCTGGGCTCAAACCTGCAATCCTTCTACTTCAGTCTCCCAGAGGGGTCAGCTTTTAATATAAAAATAAAGAATGCTCTTGTTATGTAAACTCTTTAATGGTTGCTTAATTCTAGGTAAATAAGAGTGGATAGGCTGGGAAAATCAAACTGTTCCTAGGATTTCTATCATAGGACCGTGTTTTTCTCTCTTACCTTTCCTGTCCCATCCTTCATCAACACAAACTGGCAGACTTCCTAGGGCAATGCAGAAATCCAGACAAGAGAAGGAAGCACACTAAAATAATGGAGGACAGGCTACAGGAGATGGACAGTGTCAGACATCACATGGGAGAAAAGAAGGCATTATCCGTTAGCCACTTTGTTCAAGAGAAACCAAAACAGGTCATTTGAAAGAAAGATAAGGGGAAGGAAAGAAGGAAAGAAGGAAAGAAGGAAGGAAGGAAGGAAGAAGGAAGGAAGGAAGGAAGGAAGGGAGAGAGAGAGAGAAAGAAAGAAAGAAAAAGAAAGAAAGAAAGAAAAAGAATTTCTTTGTAACAAGGTTCCTCTCAATAAGCACTGAGGAGAGCTGCAGTTTATTTGGAAATTTGTTTCAGAGGAACAAATACAACTTAGCAAATACAACGAAGGGACAAAAGATATATAAGACTCTCTAGTTTAAAATGTTAATCAAGAGACAATTATAGGCTTTGAGAAAAGAAAAAAATTAGAACTATAATCTAGAAGCAGTTATGAGAGTTACTCTTTCTTCTGCTAGAGAACACAGACTATTAAAAGCAATAGAAATCCTGATGTTTAGTTATAAAAATGATGAATGAGGCATGTGCACCCAAGTCTCCTTAATTACATGGCATTGGCCTTATACTATGAAAGACAATAAAACTGTCTCCTTTAACAACAGGTTCTAGAAAATAAACAAAGTGGCTCCCAAAGAAGCCCTTCCACATCAAGGACAATCATCTGCACATGCATGGTGTGTTTCTCCCCGCCTTCCTCCTCTACTCTTGCTCTAGTATCTCCCAAATCTAGATACCACAATGCTTGAAATCCCATTTTTGGAGACAAGAGTTTCAGATTTAATGCAGGCTTTGTAACTCAGTATTTTTTCCCCAAAATACAGGATGTTTGTGAAGTTTGAAGCCACTAAGACTGACAGTGTGATTCTGTTTCTTGGTTTACATTTCTTCATGATAGAAGTAATTTTTTAAAAGAGGAAAAGAGGCAAAAGAGGATACAAACCTGAGAAAAACTATTACACAATCCAGAGTACCAGTTTTTTTGTTATGAAAACATAGTAAGTCCTTTGTATACAAGATCTAGGCACTTAAAAAATGAATACTTGGGCTCAACAAAAATAAAGTTATAATATTTTTAAACAACAACAAAAAAAAATTTTTAAACAAAGGAAATGACTTTTTTTTTTTTTGGTCTTTTTGAGACAGGGTCTTGCTGTGCAGTTCAAGCTGGCCTTGAGCTCACTTTGTAGCCCAGGCTGGCCTCGAACTTGCAATGACCCTCCTGCCTCAGCCTCCTGAGTGCTGGGATTACAGGCGTGCGCCACCACACCCGGCTAAATGACGTTTTTTGTCAAGGCTAAATTGTTTACAAGATAAAATACATTTGGGTAAAAAATGAATCCATTTAAAAAATCTAACTGATTTTGTCAATTCTGATAACATCTGAATAGTCTATCCAAATTTGTTAAATAAAATTCATACCTCATACTCTTTTCTGCAAACTTTGGAGATATCACTCTTTGAAGATGCCTAAAAGCCAACAAATTTCTGCATTAATTTATTACACATGCTAGTTGACACAGGACAAAAAAGAACCATAATTTGTATATGTTAATGGCTGGTGTAATATTCTTTATTTCATTAATTATTTACAGTCAAATACTTAAAAGTTCTTAAAATATAACAAATTTCATGCAGTATCTTTAAAACAGGCAATAAGAATTGTTAAACATGCTGGAGTCATTCTAACTTTTATGGTTTTAATCTTACATAATAATAACATGGCTCTTTTGTTATTTAGGAAACTAGATGACTTTGAAGGCAACGTAAATCAGAGGACTTTTTTAAAACTAAATTTGGTGCTAGCAAATTTTCTTGTGAAGTTTTGCCACAGCAAATTTTCTTGTGAAGCTCTGCCAGGGCACTTATATTTTGCTTTTTCTTTTAACCCTTCATATTCAAAGCTTTTATAGTCAATGTTCTGGCCCAATTCCCTCAGAAAAGTGCTATTTACAATGGAGAGGGTGACTAAAGAAGGGATGAGGATTATGCCAGGCATTTAACAAAGGTTACTTTTATATAATTTTCTTAACGAGTTTATAAAGAAAATATTACCCCCTCAATAGATTAGGAAATTGACGGTCAGAGAAACAGCAAGTTATTTACTATATTTAAAAGTACATACTTCTAACTAGAACAAGCCAAAACAAATCTGCTGATAGGTGATTATTCTTTCACATGACATCAGCCTTCACTTAAAGATACAATTCCAGAGACATGGGCTCTGGGTCCCTTGCTCTCTTTCCTCCTATTCTATCACCTAAGCCGTGCAATGTAGAACAAGCCAGCTCGTGAGGATGGCGAAGGCAAGAAGCAGAATGGGCTGGCAAACGCTTCTTGTCTCACGAGACCTATTAGAGTTCAAATTTTCTACAACTCAGTTTCACTTCAGTATACAGAGACAGCAGCAGACAGCTAGGTCATGTACTGCTCAAAGAGTGTTGTTCAGGCTATTAACACAATGGTTTGTGTATTATCATGCCTCTATTACTCCTGTCCAAAGACCAGTCCCTAAAAAAAAATTTAAGAGAAGTCTTCTCAGTTGTTGTGATTTTAGATCCATTTAAACAGTTATCTAAACAACCAGTTTCCCAGTGAAGTCTACTTCTGTCACTTGAAGTGGAAAGCTGGTTTTCCCAGTCTGAGGTACCACTATGAACACAGGCAGCGAGGGAGAACTCGGGGGCCTAACTAGAATCAGACTAGAGAAGAGAAGCCCAAACTCACTGTAAGAGTCACACTCGCTTTAGGAGCGGACAGGAGATATGAGAACATGCTCAGGAGAAAGCTGCAGAGAAAAGGGGAGAGGAAAATGAAATAAACAACTGTGCCAGCTGCTCTCATTCAAGCATATTCAACATTTATCTGAACACTTGGAGTCAGTCAGCAATGACTCAGCACGACCATGGAACAAAGTAAGGAAGGTCCTGATTCTTACAAAATTCTTTCTTTGAACAGCAGAGGGAAGAAACGGTAAGAAAGCATGTAAGAGATAGCTGAGGGTCTTACATCCATAAAGTGGCCATAAATGAAAAAGCAGCAATCTAAACGGAACTGATCTATGCAAGAAATGCTAAATTTGTGGTTTCCAAAGCCATAAAGGAGGCAAGGCGTAAAAGAGATGCCCATCTAAAATCCAAGCTGTAATCCATGATGCTTAAAACCAACTGCCCGTTGTTACCTGCTTGCATGCCTGTCGACACTCCAAGGCAATCGCCAGCTCACAGCAGCCTAAGCCAACCCAGCCATCAGACTTCTTAAATACACCTTAAAAATGTTCAAAATTTTGGTCATAAGTAGTGACAGCAGGGCCTCAAAATTATTAAGACCTTCTCCTCATCCTTACTCCCAACGCTATCACCCCTGGTCTTCAGGGTCCCCTACACAACATACTTACCAGGTTTTTTGTTTTTCTCTCTTTTTTTTTTCTTTTTGCTCCCCTTTACCTCTTTTTAAGTAATTTTAGCTTTTATATAGGTTAGTATCTCTATCAGGACATACAGAGTAAAACAATTATGGAAAAGGCTGCTCCCTTGTTTCCAGACTATGAATCAGAGACAAAGTTTCTGATTTAACTTGACAAACAAAAAAGGAGTACAAATATTGTTCTGTTCAAAATATTACACATAAAGAGCATAAAAACCATGATCCTGTTTTAAAACATACTTAGGAACTGGGGGCATAGCTCAGTGGTAGAGTGCTTGCCCAGCATGTGCAAGGCCCTACATTTGATCCCTACCAACAAAACAACCTCAGAAAAGAACCCCCACCCCATGCTTAAAAAACATGCAGGAACAATTTTTGTGAACTAAACCTTGCTTTGGTGGGCACATTTAATCACAGAGCAAAATTACTATGTACTATTTTAGTTCAATTTATGCACAGCAGTGAGCTAACCAAATTACTGTGAAATCAGAAGATCATACATAAAAAACCTTTTAATATGTTTTTAGATCCCTTCTGTAGCTGTCAATGTCAATAAATGACTCCGAGCATAAAATTAGGAGATAGAAGACATAGTTATAAAAAGAGATGAAAGAATCGTGAAAAAAGACAAGCTTGAAGGGATGTGCAAATTCCTTGCTTTCTTTTAAAAATGCTTTATGCTACTTCTATGTAATATACAGATCTGCAAACCCACACCTGCATTAGGTTGTTATCTATGTCTGGAAAACATGGCAAGCATTCAAGGCAATACATAATATAGTTCTCTAAATGAGCTAGGACTTAATGTAACAAATAGAAGCGTTCTACTAAAAAAACAAACCAAAATGAATGAAAGCAAAAAATGGTTCATAGACATACAAATTTCTCAAAACTGTCCTCAAAGTTGATTGAATACAAACCACTTCAGCTATAAAAATTGACTAAAGATTGCATATAAGCTTCTTTACCTCTACATTTTAAGAATACAAAGATCAACATACTCTCATCTAGCTCCACTGCCTAGCAGAGTTTCCTCTGAATCTTCGTTGCTTGCTATTCAGAATCTCTCACATGTTAGACAGAATTGTGAAAAGAATCCACAAAGGTCATAAAGTCTGAGCTATTTTACATAATGCTATATATAGCTATTTCCATGCATCCAGTATGAGTCATATTTTTATCCATTTCATAATTTTGTTGCCCATACAGCACAAAATAGAGTATGTTGTTAGTAGGGACTCAGTAAATGTAAGAGCTTGTCGCATAGTATTTCCTAAGCATTTACTGACTCCCTACTAACAACATACTCTATTCCGTGCTGCGTGTACTACAAAATTATGGAACAGATAAAACATATGACTCATTTCATTATGGAGATTACAGTTGGGAAGGAACTCTGTGTGTGTGTGCATGTGTATTCCATAACACTAGGTAGAAAGATTATTAGAAGAGGCAAAGAAGTGGATAATTCCAGGAAAGCAAACAGCCCAATCTGTTTGAAATGCAAACCCTGAACAGTGTGGCACCTTTTAGAATTCAGAGATACATAGGCATGCTCCTTTTTAAAAAATGCATGGGCTTTAAGCATGACTGGAAAGTAAGTTTTAATTCAAAAAGACCATGAATGCCAGGCTAGGGAGTTTGGGTTTTATTCCAATAGATATCCTCTGAGGGATTCTTTCTGAAGGAGCCAGGGAAGATGGACATAAGATGTAAAAACAGCAATCTTGGGTTTATTACAATATTCTGTTCTATAGACTTTAATTAGAAATAAAGACAGATGCAACGTTTTGCAAGAGGACAGTCAACAGAACTAGAAGAAAAAAGAATCAAAGATAACTTGTAGGTTTCCAGTCTAGCGTCATTCTCACCAAGGGCAGTTATGTGTTTGATTCTGGATTTGCACTCTGGATGCCACCTCGATGCAGAAATCTAGGCAGACATGTCTACAAGTCACAAACAACAAATAAAACTTGAGAGTTCCCTTTCTACAGCTGGTTAGATTACCATTCTGAAAGGAATGAGATTATGAGGGTGAGGGTAGGGAAAGAAGGGAAGAATACCACATACAAAAATAACTATAGTTCTATGGCAGATAAGAGTAGGAAGGTAAGAGAGAATAAGACCATAAGGCCAAGGTGAAGTCATAAAGAAGGTCGATAAAAGTCAATAAAATCAGGAGTAAATACTGAGGAAAAAGCCATAAGATCTAGCAATCAGATCCCAGTGGTCTTTCAAAGACTAGATTCAGGAGAATAGGTGAAATGGATACAAGAGTACCAACTTAAGGAATGAACTTAGTAAGAATAAATTATAAACTTAAAAGTGTGAGTGTTAGAAGAGGAGAGAATAAAAATTCCAGAGTATAAATTAGCTTGCAGGACTACAACACAGATTTTACATTCATAAAATAAGTTTTTCAAATTAAAATGTTACATAGCTATTGCTTACCTGGCAAAGATGAATTCATACAACTCCAAATTTCAACCTGAAATTTAGTCACCAAAAAACTCTTATGTAGATAATCAGTTCTACAGATGATAATTTATTTCTATAGTACAGTTTCTATAATTTGGTTATGGCTGGGTCCACACAGTCAGTGTTCTAGGTTAAATGCACATCATTCCGTAAAAATAAAAATTTAAAAACTGAGATACAAAAAATTGCTTGTTTCCTATTTTCTCATCTAAAAATACTAAGGACCAATCTGGTTACCCAGGATACTGGTTCCAAGCAGAGACAAAAGTATCCTACAGAATGACTTAAGAAAAATTTGTCAGTCAGACCTGTTTAGCTGTCAACTTTTTTCCCTTCCACAGCTTTCATGCAAGCTCAGGCTTTCTGGCCTGGCCCACAACCACCCAAGCACTCAGGTCAGCCCAAGCCCTGGAAACATGTTAAATTACTTGATTCTGCCAGGCATGCAGCTCAGTGGAACAGTGCCTGCCTGGCAAGCGCAAGATCCTGAGTTCAATTTCCAGTACTGAAAAAAAGTATTTACTTGATTCTAATAGGCAAGCAATATATGTATAGTATGCCAGAAAATGGAGACAAGAATAATATACCATACATTTTCCCTTATCTCAAATTCAACTCTTCAAAATAAAAATACATACAGA